TAGGCTCCTTTCTCAGGGAATATGCACCTGGAAATGGAGGTGCTGCAACCTTCCAATGTTCAAGCCACTGACATCATACTAAAAGCCCAGCTGCAAACGACTTCTGATGTTGCAAGCCAGAATTGGACTCTCACACTGTGGTCCTTGACCTTTATCATTGAGGACATGGCCTCGAGGAAAGGAAAGCTTGGTCTCCTCTTTGCAGACAGGAACCTGGAGGTCTTGGTGGACAGGGTGATGGAGAGCAGTGCAGTTCTTTATCACAAGAGGCCATGCCAGACTGCGCATGAGTTGCAGCCTGGGTTAATGCTGTGTCGCCAGTGAAGTTGGATGCCCAGTGGTACCAAGAAGAAAGTCAATAATCTTCTGAGGTCTGCAAGGTTAAGTGACACAATCTTCTTCCTGCTACCGCAGAAAGGGGCCACCATTTGCTCTAACTCTGCCACTGCATACACCTCTCATCAAGACTCATGAACTACAGCTCACTCTATTGTAGACATTGTTTCTGCTCAGCAGCTCTGAACCATCTCGCCTTCCCAGGCTACTACCACTTCTTGCCCTGTGCACTTCCTAGTCACTCAGTGGCACACGTCACCACCTCATGCATCAAAACTAATTGCTCTTCCATGCAATTCCATCATGCTCAATCCCTCCTGTGACTCATTGCAGGATAAAAAAAAATGACCCTACCCTCCCTCCACCCCCAACGACAGCACTCTGACTGACCTACTGTAATCCCAGAACTGGTCGTACTTGACCTACAGAAGTGGCTGTGACTCAGAGTGTAACTACATGGATTGCTGGGCTCTGGCAGGACCAAATACCTGATTGACTGTGGCCAAATCCCTGAACTGGAATAAAATGAGTGCCTTCATGAATTGTGACATTAGCCCCCTACTGACTGTAGTCCCTCTTCACCTGCTAAGGATACAGCCTCTTTACTTGAAGTACATTCAGTGTGGCTGCCATGTAAACTGCTGACGCATGCTGCAGGTGCTGTACAGTGACATATCCACCCTCCTTGACTGTTCAAGGCTCATCATCATGACAAGCTGCCTGGCTTTACCTCTGTGCTAAAAAGCAGTGCAAGTCACAGAATTCGGCAGCCTGTAATTGGGCACTGAAGAATCTAAGCAACAAGAAAGTAACTTGAACCACAGAGAGGCTTTAAGTCAGTGCTGAAGTCAGTGAATGGTGCTAAAATAAAGCAATGTAAACCAATAGAGGTTGGCACAATGGCTCAGCAGTTAGTATTGCTGCCTCACAGCGGCAGAGACCCAGGTACAATTCCACTCTTCAGTGACTATCTGTGTGGAGTTTGCATTTTCTCCCCGTGTCTGTGTTGCTTTCCTTTGAGTACTCTGATTTCCTCCCACAGTCCAGATGTGTGCACGTCAGATGGATTGGCCATTCTAAATTGCCCATAGCGACCAGGAATGTGCAGGCTAGGTGGAATAGCCATGGAAAATGTCGGGTTACAGGGATAGGAGGGGTGAGGGGTTAGTCTGGGTGGTATGCACTTTGGAGGGTCAGTGTGGTCTCAATGGGCTGAATGGCCTGCTTCTACACTATAGGGATTCTATGATTCTAAAGAACTGCAAATGAGCCTGCATTAGAAATGCAAGCCAAGATCCATAAAATGTGTCCTGTGCACAAAGTAACCCTGAGGTTTCCCTGAGCTTCAAAGTACTGAGGAGGTAAGTGGTGTCTGAATTGGTCAGAGAACAAATATGATGATACAGTGATTTGTCAGTTCTGACTGGTGTTGATGAAGGGTCGAGAAGGATGGTGCTTGGAACAAATAGGGACATTATTGTGAAGAAGCAGTTGGTTGATTGCCAAAATAAATAGTGTGAACTGTAGCTCTGTTTTACTCGGAGGGGACTCACACCATTTAGTTTCTTAGGGAAGGACAGAAGAATTATAAATGGCATATAAATAAGCTGAGTTGAGGTTTTAACAAGATGCAAATGCACGGAAATAAAGTGGTCACTGCTTAATTGCAAGATGCTGAAGTTTCCATTTAATCAGGGGAAAATTGCAAAGCAATTCTCAACATTGACATTCTAAATTTTTCTTTCTTTTGGTATTTTGTCACTTTTCTCACCATTACCTGTGCCACGCCAAGGAGGGGAGATCAGCATTTCTGGCACAGATACTCCTAAAATGTAACAAATTAGGTGCTGCTCTTTGGGACAAAGTGCTGATCTCGGGCTATACCACCAGTTCAGCTAATACAAATTTTTAAAAAATCATTTAGTGCACCACATACTGAAAGGTCAATGTCAGGTTATCCAAATCTTTAAAGCTCTCCTCATGTGGGTGAACGTTATCATTGCTGGAGGCAGAACAACCCCATTTAGCCAGGCAGCTGTAAAAGAACTACCGCAAGTGCTTACTTAGAGGTCTGTTTAGGGAGGATAACCACAGTGCACTAGAACACTAGAGCAGTGACAGAATTAATAGTATCTCAATTATTGCTTTGCAACTGATGTGTGACTGAATTCCAAATCTCAAGACTCCAGTTAGAGTTATGAAGTAGAAACCTGAAAAGAGGCAGAAAGTACACAGAAGTTAACCAGCAGTCAAAAACAACAAGCCAGCAGCTAACCTGTTGGCAGGTTACAAATCCTTTAAATAAAGTTTATCACATCCTGAGCAAGATGCTATGGTAAATCAATTTCACAAAAGCATCTTATAACCAGCACTGGGCCCAAATTTAAGTATTACAATGAGCTTCCTGAAACATTCTACGTATGTTCTGGACACCTACAA